AAAAAATTGTCTAAACAAATAAAGTGCATTATTAATAAAATCCATGACTTTGAAACGTATATAACAATTCTTTTTTTCAAAATGTAAATGAGAAAATACTTTTTATCCCACATGCACAAAAACGGCGCTTTCTGATAGCAGCCGACAGGGAGGAAAGTCATTCATTTCTTCGACCGTATGAAAATGGCGGCCGTGTTCTCCCAAGGGCAAGAAAATTAGCTGTTCACATGCATTTTTCTTGCCCAAGGGAGAAATCGGCCGCCATTTTCATACAAATCGAACAAGTGAATGACTTTTACTCCCTGTCGTCTGCTATCTGAAATCGCCGCTTTTGTGCATTAGGAATAAAAAATATCGTAAGTAACACGAGAATAAAGGCAGCCAATTTCTTTACGATGATTTTTGTGACACTTGTTACGGTCTCGGGGCGCCCTCGACCTCCACTCGTGTCACAAAAATCACCGTAAAGAAATGGCTGCCTTCATCCTCTTGTTGCTTAATATACTATAATTTAGTGCTAGTTTCTTACAAAAATTTTTGAAAATAATTGATCTATACATACATTGTTGAAAATTAAATTTTATTTAAAAAATTTTAAAATCTTATCGTAAATTATTTAAAAAATTTTTTTAAATATTTTTATTAAAAACTACGCGTGAAAACAAAACTTTTCATTATAAAAACATCCAATTTGATCAATTTTTGACCGAGGTATAAGCATTAAAAAAAATTTACGTAAAAAACGTTATTTTTCAAAAATCTGTATCTCCTGAACCGCTTTATGAAAAAAATTTTAAAAAATCAAGGTAGCTCATTTCAAAGAGTACTAAAAGAAAAAAATGTTTAAAAAAAATTTGAGATGCAAAAGCAAAATGATTTTCGATTTGGCCTGGAATGCCCCATATATATATATATGAGGCATTTTACGTGAAATGTCCTAAGTTGAAATTTCAACTTCTTGAAAAAAATTGAAACTCAGGGAATTTTTTGTTCTATCAAGTAGAAATGTGCCCAAAAAAAATATTTTTGATTTTTTCGAAAATTTGGAGGGGGTAGAGGGGGGTCAATTTGACCAATTTTGCTAACACCGTCTACTTTGTGAATTTTTTCTGAACATACTTGTAATGGGAAAAAGTTTTTAGAATATTTTTCTGAAAGGTTTTTTCGTCCTCTTTCCAATGGTGTAATTTATTTTTTAATATTTTAAAAAGGGTATAGCCGGATAAGTATGCAAAAAGTGCCCCCGCATGTATTTAATTCATAATTTATCTATACATTCCTACCCACTTAAAGATAACATTCTGAAATTTTGAACTCAAAATTCGCTTTTTTGGGGGAGTTATGGAGGGGGAAAGAAAAATCAAAAAATGCGTTTTTCTCGAAAACTACTGAACCGATTTTAATGAAATTTAAATATGTTATAAATGTCAACAAAACAGTTTAAAAAAAAAATTTTTGAATTTTTTTTTCAAAAAAATCCAAAAAAAATTTTTTTTGAATTTTTCAAAAAAAATTTTTTTTCATTTTTTTAAGAGCGACACCCGCCATTTTTTTATTATTTACTCGTTAAAGTGTCTATTTAAAGAAAAAAATTTTGCCCAATTTTTTTTTGAGGTGCGTGATAGTGAAAAAAATAAAAACCGCAAGTGGGTACAATGTACAGCTTAAATTTTGAAAAATCCATCATATTCTTTAAAAATTTGTTATTTCGAGTCATTTTTAGGTTTCTAATTATAAATCTACTATAAAATTTAAAAAATTCAAAATGGCGCATCCAAGATGGCGGAAAATTTTCCGAAACGTGAATCATATTTTGAAGTTTCATAACAAAAATTTCAGATACAATTAACTGGGGCTTAGGGGGTTAAGTGTGCAAAAATTGCCCCCGCATCTATTTTTCTCAAATTTGGCCCATACATTACTATCCATATGACTATAACTTTCTGCAATTTTCAACTCAAAATTCGCTTTTTTGGGGGAGTTATGGAGGGGGAACGAGAAATCAAAAAACTTATTTTTTTCGAATACTACTGAACCAATTTTAATGAAATTTTAAGAGGTTGTAAAAATAGATAAGACGACTTTAGTAAAAAAAATCAAAATTTTTTTGTCAAAAAAAAGAAAAAAAATTTGTTTTTGAAATTTTCAAAAAAATTTTTCAGAGTAATTTTTTGAAGTGACCACTTTATCTTTTGTTGTAAAAAGTACCTTATAATGTCCCCTTTAACCTTTTTTTCCCAAATTTTTAAAAAATATACTTTTTGAGTAAAATGTCAAAAACCGGACAAGTATGGAAAAAGTGATCCAAATATATTTTTCCTATTCATTCCTACCCACAAAATAACTTTTTGAAATTTTAAACTCAAAGTTTTGAGTTTTTTGAGCTTATGGAGGGATAAAAAATCGAAAAAACGCATTTTTCTCTAAAACTATTGTATGCATTTTAATGAGCTTTGTATATGTTGAAAAGACAATTAAAGAGATAAAAAAAGTTTCAAATTTTTTTTTCAAAAAATTCCAAAAATCTGTTTTTTAAAAAATTTCATTTTGAAATTTTCAGAAAAAAAATTTTTTGGTTCTATTAAAGTGACATTTTTATGTATTTTATCATTTCAGTCTCTTATGTGATCTACTTAATTAAAAAGTTTTGCCTGACATGATTTCAGTGTGTGTCACAGTAAATAACTCAAAAACCCTACCCGGTACATTGTACCCACTTGCGGTTTTTATTTTTTTCACTATCACGCACCTCAAAAAAAAATTGGGCAAAATTTTTTTCTTTAAATAGACACTTTGACGAGTAAATAGTGAAAAAATGGCGGGTGTCGCTCTTAAAAAAATGAAAAAAATTTTTTTTTTGAAAAATTCAAAAAAAAAATTTTTTGGATTTTTTTGAAAAAAAAAATTCAAAAATTTTTTTTTAAAACTGTTTTGTTGACATTTATAACATATTTAAATTTCATTAAAATCGGTTCAGTAGTTTTCGAGAAAAACGCATTTTTTGATTTTTCTTTCCCCCTCCATAACTCCCCCAAAAAAGCGAATTTTGAGTTCAAAATTTCAGAATGTTATCTTTAAGTGGGTAGGAATGTATGGATAAATTATGAATTAAATACATGCGGGGGCACTTTTTGCATACTTATCCGGCTATACCCAAACCCTAATTTTTGATAATTAATATTTAATTTTTAATTTCCCAAAAATCGGTCCGTTTTTTTTTTTAATAAATTATTGCAAACGAAAGCTGAGGTTTTTTCCTATCGGCATGTAAATTTTCAGAATTCCCTTTGTTTTTGTTTTTGAGTTATTAAATTTCAAAGAATAAATTGCGGCGCGCTGCGTCGCGGTTGCACTGAACCGCGTGGCAACCGGCGTAAGACGAGGCGCCCGGGACGCAATTTATTCTTTGAAATTTGATAACTCAAAAACAAAAACAAAGGGCATTCTGAAAATTTACATGCCGATAGGAAAAAACCTCAGCTTTCGTTTGCAATATTTTATTTAAAAAAAGCACCGATTTTTGGAAAATTGAAAATTAAGTATTAAAAGAATTTCAGTGCCCCTCGATGATACGCCTCTGATGAGGTTAGTTTTCCTGTTTACTTTTCACATCTCATTTCAATTACGCGAAAAGTGCTAATTACACGAAAACTAATGTTTATTAATAAATGTAATTTAAAATAAATATAGTTGATATGGATTGTCTAACATAAAAGAATAATTAAACAAACAGAAAAAAGCAAATGTCGAAAAAGAGCGACGTGAAAAAATTCAAAATAATCCTGGTGAAATTTAAATAATTTTAATATTATTTTTAAACTTTAAATAGTTTTGTAGCTTACCTACTTCAAATATAGTTTATTTAAATACCAATGAACAGTAATTAATAAAAGAAAGTTCAATTTTTAAACATTAAAAAAAAAATTTTTATCAACTTAAAAGTGACCGGTTTTTGGAGAATCACCCATATAATTGTGACTGTCCACGAGAAAACAGGGCTTAGCTCCCAAACGTGAATTTCACAGGGCGAGCGATTGAAGTACTACGATTGAAGTTAACTACGCTTGACATACCCATCTTTAAAACGATATATTGTCGAAAGTAGTTGATATTTTTAACTTTTGACTTTTGCATCTGAAAAAGCAACATAAAATCTGTCGATTACCATAAAAAACTCAAATTGATTTTTTGGACCTAAGCCGTGTTTTGTCGTGGACAGTCGACGATTGAAGTTAACTACGCTTGACATACCCAGCTTTAAAACGATATATTGTTGAAAATAATTGATATTTTTAACTTTTGACTTTTGCATTTGAAAAAGCAACATAAAATCTGTCGATTACCATAAAAAACTCAAAATTTATGTGTGTGTGTGTGTGATATCACTTGGGGGTATAGTAAGTGTCGTTTCATTACATAAGGTTTAATCTCAATGCCACATTCATTTTTTCTTAAATTAAGAAAAGAACCAGGGGCGGATCCAGACAAGGTTCTTGGGTAAAAAAGAACAATTACCGATTGGTAGAATATTCACTACTGTGAACTATTGTTTAGTGGCGCTAATGACAACAAGTATTAAAATTTTAAAATGTTTAAATTATAAAATCTAATCTGAATTAAATTGATATATAAATTTATTATAATGAAAATAAAATAATTTTAGAAATTAAAGAATTTTTTTAATGAAAATCTTATTTTTTTTAAAAAAAACGTTAAGACGAGCAGCTAGGATTTCCATATTTGTTGATTTTGAATCTTGAGATTACATAAAAGTAAAAGAAATATTAAAATTCATTCTGTGGTCTGAAGAATGTAAGAGTTTTAAAATACTCATGAACGAAAAGTCAATATTATTATGAGAATACATTTTTTATCAAATTCTACATTTCAAGGTAATAGTGATTAAAAATTATGTTTTTGTTGGAAAAATATGTGCAAACAAATAATTTCAAGCAGTTTCTTTATAATAATTTGAAGTATATAAATTATGTATGTCAAATAAAAAATAATTAAATATCTAATGTCGTGTTTCACATTATCTGTGAACAACTGTTTTTCATATCTTAGTTTCATTTCAAAATCACGAAAGGAAATATGTTCGTTACAAGGGAAAAATTTGTGTATCTGTGGTTTTTGACAGTGTTTGTCAATTTTCACTCATGTTGTACGTTTTTTTCATTTATTTCTATTTATTATCATTATTTTTTAATATTTAACCCGTTGCCTGTTTAGGACCCACGGGTGAGTCGTGAAAAAGTTTGGCCATAACTGTTTCCGACCCACCCGTGGGTCGTGTTCATTTTCACTTAAAATAAATATAATTTGTATATAAATTGATAGATATTTTTCTTTATATCAATATTATAAGACATTATAAGGGTCATTAATGATATTTTTTACAATAATTGAATAATTAGTTATAATTTAAATATATTATACTATTTGAAAAAGTATCAGATTCCGCTGGGCATTTTGGGACAATCATGTTGTATTTTCCTCAAACAGTTAAGGGGTTAAATAGAATTAAATTGATTTTAATAATTAATTATAATAAAAATATAATTATTATCAATTGGGTTTAAAACTTTTTCATTTAAGATTTTTTTTACTAATAGATGAATTGTCAAATAATTGCAATACAAATTGGAATGAAACGATTTTTAAAAAAATTGAATCTCTGGAGAATTTTTATAATCTATCATTAAAAAATTTACAAATTTTAATTATGGGAGAAGTTTCGCAAAAGTGTCCAAATATTACATCAGATGTACTGGTTCGTATTTCTAAAGGAATTTCTTGTTCCCTTTCAAGATATGAAAACATTAATCGAACATTGATTATGAATTCGATTTCCGAAGATGCTGCAAATGATATAGCGAATGTTTTGGAAAATAAGAAAATTTACAGTAAGTTATTATTTTAAATAAGTTTTAAATAATATTATAAAACATGAAGATAACCATCACTCCGAGTCATCATTTTAAATATGTATTTTTTTAAAATAAATTTCTTTATATAAAATTTATTCTTAATAAAGTTTTGAAAAATATTTCTAAACTAAATGTAAACTAAAATATTTTATTTTAGATCTCAGTCCAGTATATTCTGACCAATGTCTATCACAAATTTACAATTTTGATTTGAATATTTTTAATAATTCTGGAAAATATTTATCCTTTAATCAAACAGAATTATACACGAATATTTCTAATGCATTAATAGAAGCAAATGAAGGAATTTCAAATGAAAATTTAAGTTCTTACGTTGTGGCAAATATTTTGAAAATTTTGAATAATATTCCTGACAATGTACGACAAAATATTTTTAATATAACTTTTCAAGTAGTTAAAAAATGTCATTTGAATAGCCAATGGCAGATAGGAACTTGTGCTATTGAAATATCACAAAAAATTATGGATTTGATAGGAAAGTCACAAATTCCATTAAATTATGTATCGCCATCTTATACAAAAATTGGTAAATTTTTAAAATTATTATTAAAATAATTTATAACCATTTTTAATATTATCAGTGTTTATAGTTTAATAATTTTCTTTTTTAGAAACTTCTATTCAGACTTCAGATGTTTATCAACTGTATGTAAATCTCTTTGAGTTTTTAGAGAATTACGAATCTGAATTCATCTTAGAGGCATTATTAAGTGTACAAATTGTTATTAAAAACACACTACAGGATAAAATTCCTAAAATAAAAACGAATAGTTCTTTAAAAAGAAATATTTTCAATATAGCTTCCTATATTGTACAATGTTTTAAAAAAGGAAATTCAAAAATAAATGCATTGTGCGCATTGTATGTAACAAAAAATATTATAAATGCAACAAAAGTATTTACAAATTATCAAAAGACTGAAATGAATGATTTACGAGAATTTGCATTTGTTAATTTAATATCATATGAAATTATAAACGTGACTAATTTTATTTTTAATTTTATTGCCGTGACAGAAAAATTATTTTTCGAAAAATATGAAAAAAGGATGGAAAATATAATTTATGGTATTTTAATCGAATATAATAATAGCACAAACATTAAGAATAATTTTAAAGTAATTCTTGATAGATTACACAATGCAGAGGAAGAAACGTTAAGCAATATTTATATTCTCAGTAATCTTGAATTATATCTCAATAAATTTCTTATAGGAAATACATCATCCTTACAATTATCGTATTTAATTATGAGAAACAATTTAATGTCAAAATTACCTCTCGATTTTCAAGAAATACAAATTCTTCAATTACAGACAACATTTTTTCACATTCTTCTTGAACATAATTACGATTGTAATAATTTTAACGCAACAAATCTAATAAACGACATTCTCATAACAACCGAATGTTTTTTAAATTCAAAACAAAGTTTAGGTATTGAAAATCAAGATGCAATAACAATATTGAATATTAATATAACTGCAATCGAGCAAAATTTGACATCAATATTGATTGAAAGTATGAAACAAAACTATTATGATCAGATGAATTCAATAGATAGAGTTACACAAAATGTGTTAAGAAGTATTGGGTTTGAAAAATTCATTTGTACAAACATCAAGAAACCAACGATTGCAATGTTCGAAAGTTATTTATTTAATGTCATAAAGCAGGAAATCCTACAATTTTTTCCGTCTGAAGGGAAAGGAAATATTTTTAATCTTGAATTTGTTATTATAAAATTACTTCTTCTTGAGTATTCGAAGTGTATTTATGAGAAAGGCTATAATTTAATGATTGGAAATGATCTTTATCATGTGAGAGCCGACTGGCATTGTTTAGAGAAATAGTAAACGGAAAAAACAAATAAATTAACTATTACTATACTAAATTTTGCTATTTTTAATCATTCTGTCCAAAATGAGAGACCTTACTTCAAAATTAATTAACTAATTAATTATTAATTAACTATTACTATACTAAATTTTGCTATTTTTAATCATTCTGTCCAAAATGAGAGACCTTACTTCAATTGGGTACCAAGTTTCAAGAAAATCGGTGTATTTCAAATGGGTAGTGTTTTTTGTTAGTTTTTTTAAAACAACCCTAAACATAAACATAACCTCTTAAGGGTTAATGCAATCGAATTCGCCTATAGGTAATTTAAAAGAGCATACTTATTTCGGGTATTTTTATTACTTTCAAAAACTTAACGTGAAGAAACATTTTGGACTCCGAATTCGTGTGCAACACAAAAATTACTTTCGGAAACACTTGGTTACATTAATTCGACAAAACTGATTCAGCACTGTGTAATTTGTTAAAGCTAGAGACTTTTTTAAAATTCTGATTTCGACATCATGACTTCCATCTAATGCCATTTCTTAAGTGTAAGTAGATAATGTGAATAATTACCGTGAAACCTCGCCAGTAAATCTACTGGTAGAAAGCTCACAAGAACCAAAGCAGCGCTCGTTGACACTGTTCTATAGGCTGAAACTACTCTCCGAGTATAACCACCGACATTGGTCTTCATCCTAGATAGGTTCCCCATGCAGTCGGAGGTATTCAGTGACGTGATCTTAGCATGTTGTTCGAACTTTAATTTTCGATCCAACGTCGCTCCCAGGTGCTTCAGACTGTTTTCCCAGGAGACTTCGGTTTGTCCTATATGAATCTATGGGACTTTAAAGGATCTCTAGCCCCTGACGAGCAAAGCTTCTGTCTTCTCTATAGCCATTTACAGGCCGTCGCGATCTAACCAGAACTTTGCTCGCCTCAGGCTTTCATTAATCCTTATTTCCACAATCTCAGGATTCTCCGCGCCACACACTTCAATAACGTCGTCCACAAAGCCAACCATTACAGTATCTTCAGGTAACTCCATTCTAAAGAAATCATCGTACCTTATCATTTCGTGTTTGAGATGGCACGCTTTTTGACTTTCTTTGCCTGGTTAACAACAGTGAGTATTGCATCAAATGTTAACCGGCCTTTCCAAAAGCCAAATTTATTCTCAGATAATTTATTTTCGCCTATCAGGATTGGCTGAAGTCTTTGTAGAACCATTCCCTCTAGAAATTTGCCCATCGTGTCCAATAAATAATTTGGTCTGAACGATTATCGCCTTTCGTGAGAAGGACCAACTTCTGCGTTTTCCAGTTACCGAAGAACTCTCCAACTTATACAATTTACTGACCCCCGAAATTTTACGCACGAAAATTATCGAGGAAAGTGACGCGAGAAAAAACGGTCCACAAAACGCGAGTTCTGACGCCATGGACAGTGGCGCAATAACCCACTTATGTAACAAGTCGGAAAAATTTCGAAAAATTTCCAGTTCAAATCCCGGAATATTAAACCTCACTCGAAAATGCATCGTTAGCTCCGGACTTAAGGACAAATTTAATTTCGGTATCTAAAATTTCGGACAGAGGTTACAACGTTATTTTTAAAAATAATCGAGCAGAAATCGTGAGTGGTGACGGAAAAATTGAATTGTGCGCGGAAAGAATTGGGGACTTGTATTACATACCAGAGTTTCGAGAAAATTTGTGGATGACAACAAATTCGTCTTTCAATCGAATATCGTCGATTGAACTTGCACACAAAAGGCTGGGTCACGCTAGCGCATTGGAAATTCAAAATGCTATACGGAATAGCAAAGTAACAGGAATTCAACTCACGAAAGCGTCTATCAAGTTTGAATGTGATGTGTGCGCGAAAGGAAAAAAGATAAGAACACCATTCCCGAAAAACTGGAATTGAAAAACCGAAGTTCTGCAAATTATACACACGGACTTGTGTGGGCCAATGAGGATGACGATTTCATTGGGAGGATCGAGATATTTCATCGAATTCATTGACGATGCTACAAAGTGGTGTGAAGTTCGTTTCTTAAAATCGAAAAGTGAAGTTCTTAAAGTGACAGTTAAATATTTTGCTCAAGTGGAAAAACAAAAAGGGAAAAGTGTGCTAACGATACAATCTGACAATGGAACCGAGTTTAAAAACAACGACCTGGACTCCTATCTGAAACAACGAGGGATAACGAGACGCCTAACTGTGCCACACAATCCGGAGCAAAATGGCACAGCAGAGCAAAAAATCCGGACTCTTCTCGAAACTGCGAGATGTCTTTTACTTGAAAAGAACTTACCGAATTCGTACTGGGCGGAGGCAGTGAATACTGCAAACTACATAAGAAATCGTTTACCTACCAAGAGCTTGAATGGAAAAACGCCTTACCAGGCTTGGACAGGAGAAGTTCCGGACTTGTCACACATGAGAATTTTTGGCAGTGACGTATTATATTTAGACAGAGATCCCGGAAAGGGAAAATTGGATCAAAGGGGACAGGAAGAAATATTCTTAGGATACTCCGAGGAATCCAAGGCATACCGGATCTGGTCATCGCAGAAAAACAAAATTATAATCAACCGCGATGTAAAGTTCATGGAAGACAATAAAACTAACTCTGAAACAAAACAAGAAACGAAGATTTTATCGAAAGATCGATTGTTAGTGGGCATCGAACATATTTCATCGAATAAACTAAACGACATTGAAAATGAACCAGACAAAGCCGAAAACGTCCCCACATCTGAATATGAAGATGTGGAAAGCGTCGATGAAATGGAATTTAGAGGTTTCAAACGAGACGAAATTCAACAAGATCAAACGAATGCGGAAAATATTCCAAAACCAAAGAGAAAAGTGGGACGACCGAAAGGAAGTAAGATGAAACCAGAGTCAGAGAAAACCACCCCACAACAAGGAACGAGATCCGGACTGAGAAGCAGCGCACCGCGAGAAAATTATGAGGGAAACGTCATTGAACAACTAGAAGCAGATATAGGAATCAAGCAGCTTTTTCTATCTGAAGTTCCGATGAAGGAGGCGATAACTGGATCTGATTCCGAGAAATGGCACCAGGCCATAGCAAGTGAGATGAAATCCTTAATAAAAAATAAAACTTGGACTCTCGTCAATCATCCAGGTTAAGCCAAGGTCATCGGAAGCAGGATGATATTAAGGAACAAGCTGAATCCAGATGGAAGCATCGAAAAACGAAAGGCTCGATTGATCGCTCACGGATTTAGCCAACAACCGGGAATCCACTTCAAAGAAACATTCGCTCCTGTTACCAAAATCAGTTCGATTCGACTCATGGCATCTTTGGCAGCACAGCACAACTTCAAAATCAAGCAGCTTGACGTAGCATCAGCATACCTCAACGGAGACCTTGAAGAAAAAGTCTATATGAGTACTCTAAAAGGATTCGAAAATTTTCTGGAAGATCTCATCAACTCAGAAGGTGACAGCAAAACTGTAAGAGAAGCCCAGGTGATGCTACGAGAATTTCAGAAAGGTAACAAAGTTTGCTTATTAAAAAAATTAATTTTCGGACTTAAACAAGCCGACAGAAGCTGGTACAAAAAACTCGATAGAACCTTGAAGAGTTTAGGTGCAGTTCCATCGAAATCGGACCCATGTCTTTTTCATATCCGAGCAGGGGAAGACATAATCATGATCATCGTCTATGTTGATGATTTCCTCATAGCAGCCAAAGACGAAAGGAAAATCGACAACTTTAAAAGGAGACTGTCGAACGAATTCGAATTGAAAGACCTTGTACCAGCAACCTACTTTCTAGGAATTGAATTTACACAAGGAAACAACGTCGTGAAGATGAGTCAGTCGTCCGTACATTCAGGAAATGCTCCAAAAGTTCGGGATGAGCGAGTGCAATCCAATTAGTACTCCAATCAAGGTAGGGGTAAAACTCGCGAAAAACGAACAACCTAGCGAAGAAGATGAAAAATTGCCCTACCGAGAGCTTGTCGGCACTTACCTATCTCTCGGTGACGACGCGTCCTGACATTGCTTATTCTATAAGCCACCTAGGACAATTTAATAACTGCTACGACGAATCAAGGATTTGTTGACGCGGACTGGGGAAGCTGTGTGATTGATAGAAGATCATACTCGAGTAATATTTTCAAACTCGGGGGAGGTCCAATATCGTGGGACTCCCGCAAACAAAAAACCATTGCGCTGTCAACAACAGAGGCAGAATATATGGCTGTCACCGAGTGCGTCAAGGAAGCCATATATAAACAGAGATTTCTTCGAGAACTTGGATTCGAGGACCTTTCCAATTTGAGTGAGTTTTGTGATAACAGAAGTTGCTTGTTTCTAGCTAAGAATCCGACGTTTCATGCTAGAACTAAGCACATTGACATTAGGCACCACTTCGTGCGGGACATATTGTCAAGGAATTTGTTCACCGTAAAATACATATCAACTCAGGATCAAGTGTCTGATTTCCTGACGAAAGGACTAACTAGTATGAAACATTGTCAGTGTGTGAAATCAGCTGGTTTAAATACAGTGAGAAATCATTGTTCATTTTTCTTTTTATTTTATTTTCTTGTTTGTTGAAAAAAAGGGATCAGCTGACTCGAGGGGAAGTGTTGACTTTATGCAAAGACTGACATTTAAATATTCGAGTCATCTTGTATTACTTATTTGCTCATTAAATTATGAAGTTAAATATAAATTCATTGGAAATTTATTTAAACCCTCTGGTCGCCAATTATTCGTGATAACAATATGACATATTTAAATCCATCCGAACTTCACCCTGTCTATCTTAAGCAGCGCATCCGCGTCTGCTTCTTTCTCCACGGCTTAGAGGAATAAGTCGGCAAGACATTTCCACGTTGGTCCAGCCCAAAGTTCGGCGGACCGCCTCAGTGACTTCTTCAATACCCCAGGTAGAAATTTCTACTCTACATACACTAAGAGTCTATTTTTATAAGACTGGTGTTTTTTTTTTTCCTTAGTAACTGGTCAGTTTCTGTGTCAGCAGTTTCTTTTTTT